GTTGGCGGGGGCTATTGACGTTAATTGTGGAGTGTGGTGATAAAGTGCAATGCGGTGTTTTATAAAGTGCAACTTGATGTTTAATAAAGTGCAACGTGTTGATATATAAAGTGCACTACTTTATATGGTCATATATATAGCTATTGACGCTAATTGTGGCGTGTGCTGATAAAGTGCAACGTGGTATTTTATAAAGTGCAACTTGATTTTTAATAAAGTGCAACGTGTTGATATATAAAGTGCACTACTTTATATGGTTAATTGAGGAGTATGCTGACAAGTGCAATGTGATATTTTATAAATTGCAACTTGATGTTTCATAAAGTGAAACGTGTTGATATATAAAGTGATGGTCACATATAAATTTTGTGTTATTAAAACTAGATTTAATAGATATAATTGTGCATTGTTTTAACTTAAATAATTGAAATTATTTATTATTTAATATTATAAAAGTAAATTTGGTATTTTAATCTTTTTTTTTATATTTTAAAATTGTACATATTAAAATTTCTAAACATTGTATATTTTACTTATTATTAATATGCATTTATGATAATATTGATATAAATTACATATTTGGTCATGAACTAAATTAAAAATACTCAAAATTGACAAAATTACAAAGTTACACAATATATAATTTTCACAAAAAAAAAAAAAAAATGTCAATGAAACCCTAAATCCTAATTTGATTACACTTACTACACATTTATTAATTTTTTTTATAAAATATATATTTGGCACATGTACCAAATTGTAATATAAATAAAATTCTTAATATTGCAATTATGTCCTTATAATTCATTAAATTTTCAATCCCCAACCCCCACAAATTTTCAAAACCCCCCACAAACCCCAAATTGAAATTTACAGATTTTCAGCACACACATACACCTGGCGGTCGAAAAATCATAGAGCTCCTCCTGATCGGAAGATAGTCGACTTTTGGTCTGCGTGTGTGTGTGTTGGTGGCGCGGATGACACCGTGTTGTGTATGTGTGTGTGTGCGCTGCAAGCGGCGGGCGGCGTGTCGCCGCCGACTGGAGATAGTGGGTGGAGTGCGGCGTCGAATGGAGAGTCGACCGGATTTTATGAGGCGGTGGCGGTGCTGGTGGTGGGCAGCGTTGTACGGCGGAGGTGGTGGAGACGAGACTTCAAGATGGCGATGGCGGCACCGTCGAGAGCGGCGGCGAGTGGTGGTGCGGCTGCCGGCGGACGACCGTCTTGGAGGCGGCATCAAGATAGTGGCTGATGTTCGACATAGAAGGCGGCGGCTGTGTTGACGGAGACGACAGATGTCGGAAGTCGGCCGGTGAGAGAGGCGGTGGTATTTCTCCGGCGAGCGGTGGTCTGTGTAGTGTGTGTATGACGTGCGTCTATTTACTGTGTGTGTGAGAAGGGAGTGTGTGAGAGATGGAGATGGTGAGGTACGTAAATCTTGACAGAGAATCTGGGGAAATGCAATCATTTAATTTGAGTGGGGCTCAATAGTTTTAATGTGTATATTATTGTGACAGTGAGAGAGAAAACGGGGGTGGAGTGGGTCAGTGGGTGGATGGTATTAGTTGGCAGTATATTATTGTGTAAAGGGGTCCACTTCTTTATGTGTGGTGTTAAAATTACTACAATATCCTTAATTAAGTATAATTTTGAATTTTTTATTAGCCACAATCATATGATCTAATGACTACAATTTATTCTTATTTCTTTCACTAAGCATCATTCTCATGTGAACCCAACTCTATATATATATATGTATATATATATATATATTATCTCTACATTAACCATAATAATTTGTATTTTGTTTATTAAAAAAAAGATTGAAAATCATAATTTAAAATAATATAAAAAACAGGTTATAATGTTGAGGTAAAAGTTTGTATAGTTTTGTCTAAGGGATTCAAGGAACTCTTGCCTTAGAATATGTGGTTCTCCTAATATTTTGGGGTTCTTCAACCCTACGCTGATGTACTTCTATCGTGTTAAAAAAAAAAAAAAAAAACTTGAGCGATAGGTTTTTTAGGGTATCATACACATAATAATTTTATATTAAAATAAATGTCTCATATAAATAATGATTATTAAACAAGGGCTTAATAGCTTTTCTTTTTTCCCAAAACGAAAGAGGTAGTATATAAAAGCACAAAAGTGCAAAAGGAACAAATTACAAGACCCCAACAGGGTAATATCTAAGACCCCAACAGGATAATGATACAGGGGCCAACAGCCCAAACCAAAAACACCCTACAAAACAAACTGAAATAAAAACCTGAGAGGACACGCATAAGGCGGCCTAAAGAACTCCACAAACAAAATAAAATAAAATAAAAATGAAAACAGAGCCACTGCACAATGCCTTGCCTGTAATCATTTTCGAACCACAGCAAAATCAACGGACCAAGCCAGCAGAGAATAGCAGAGAATAATAGGGCTTAATAGCTTTAATAAGCAAAAATATATGGAATCGCGACAGCTTCTATTTGTTATCTAGAAAAAATATAAAAGCTCTTAAGTTAAAACAATATAAAAAAACATGTTATATAAGTAATAACTAATCTTGGTTTATTTTCCAGAACAATTTCTTATTTAAAAAAAACGAAGATTAATTATTTGTATTTTGTTAATTTTGAAAATATAAGAAAATCATGTTATATTATAGTTTAGTAATAATTAAATAAAGGTAATGATCATTGCTTAATATTTTAAAAAAATATATAAATAAAGTCATGTTATATAAACTCTCTTCCAAATGAAATATATAAATATTATTTTTAAACTTAGAACATAACTTAACAAAATTTGTATTATATTAATTTAAAAATATAAAAAATACATTAACACTACTAATTAGTATTTTTATTAAATCATAAAAAATATATTACACTCATATATATAACAACCACTAGATAATAACTATTCTTAATAATTTATATCTATAATTATTCATTTAGAAACTACTCTCATCCACTACCACCCACGTTTCCTCATTATTGGCGGTTACAAAAGTAGGATTCAACTAATTTTTTTTTTCTTCTCTCGTACGAATAATTTTCAACTTATCTTGTGTTCTTTCATTCACAGGAAGCACATATCAAAATATGTAGGGAAAAAAATTAATGTCGTGCGACACACAAACTATTGTATGGAAAGGAGTCATTAGATTTGAAATTTTCGCCCGATATATGAAGAGAAGAATACTTTAAACATTGAAGTGTTGGCTGACTGGATTGTAAGAATATGTGGTTCAAGATCTTTGATGAAGTTTACATTGCATGAATGCATTCAACCACACATGGTGGAAAATACCGAGTGTTTGAACTTGAACTACCACCACCATATGAATTGCATTTTTCATGTATTATGATTATATCGTAGTAATTAGTTATTTATAATTATAATTACATGTATTTGGGATATGTACAATTAATATATTTATAATTGTAATCTACCTTTTTATCACATAATTCAGTATATTTGTAATTGTAATCTATCTTTTTTTATTACATGAAGAACAGTTGAATAGGAAGATACATGAAGAAAAGAGAAAGATTGAGAAGCACAATAGGTTGTGGCTTGACTTGAACTGTCCACCCAATTATGAAGGATTCCTATCTGATGACCAAGAATATGAAAAATCTCGTTGAATGATGCATGTGGATATTTAAATATTGTCAAATATTGCTCCCACAGCTGTTGAAAAAATGATACACGGTTGTTCGATTGTTTCTTTGTATGTAATGGAAATGTTTAGTGATACACGATTGTTTCTTTGTATCTGATGAAAATGTTTAGTTGTTGTTTTTAATGTGATGGAAAGTCGTTTTGTAAATTATGTTTAACAGTGAATAACATATATGTTTTGCTATTGTGTTTTATTTTCCTTTAATTTTGTAAATATTTATACATATAAAATATTATGTATTCAAAGTTGCAACCATTAAACATAAATTCAATGTAGTGAATTTTAGATTTGTTGAGTGATAATAAAAATGATCAATAAATTATATTTCCTTGTAATTTTGTTATATAATTTTTAATAATATGAGCAACAGATTTTTTTTGTTAATTTATTGATATGGTTGCTAATATAGACACATTAGGAACAAAATGATCCATTGCAAAATTTGTAGCTAATGACATAAATTAGTAACGGACATTTCCATTTCTGATTTGGATGCTGGTAGTAAATATTAGAAACAAATATATCAGTTACAGATTTGGTTGCTAACACTCTACTATTAGAAACGATTTTTTTTTGTTGCAAATATCGTTGCAAACAGTAACGAACCATTTTAAGTTTCCGAGCATTAGTCACCCTGTTTTTACTAACCAATTACGAAACGGAATTTATTTGTTTATGTTGTATATTAGTGACAGAAAATACGCTTTAGCAACAAAAATTTCCGTTTCTGAATCTCTGATTTCTAGTAGTAATCTTATATGGAGTATTTAATTTCTAGTTATTTATTAATATACTTATCCACAACTTTAATTTATAGTAACTATTTAATTATTTAATTTTTTTTATTTGTGTATCACATCTGCTACGCACTAGTTAATTATCAAAACACCACAGTCCATATATATATATATATAATACGTAATTTTATACACGATAAAGTGTGGGCATGGAGAGTTTAATTAGGTCGCTCACACTTCTTGGCCTAGGAATGTTGTAACAAATCAACACCCTATCCAATATCAGACTTAATTCTTCCCATAGCGCTAACCAAAGCACCAAAGTACGTGACACACACACACAC